CCTTACAACAGTCCATATATGTAAATACATCTTACAACAGTCCATATATGTAAATACATCTTACAACAGTCCATATATTTATATACACATTATAACAGTCCATATATTTATATACACATTATAACAGTCCATATATTTATATACACATTATAACAGTCCATATGTTTAAATACACATTACAACAGTCCATATGTTTAAATACACATTACAACAGTCCATATATGTAAATACATCTTACAACAGTCCATATATTTATATATACACATTACAACAGTCCATATATTTATATACACATTACAACAGTCCATATATTTATACACATTACAACAATCCATATGTTTAAGTAGGTTTAAGTGCACGTTAGAACAATTTATTGATTTAAATACACATTGAAATTAGTTTAAAAATGGATAAAGTGATATTAATTGGTAAAAACCAAATGGCTCATGTATAGGTACAGTTAAAATGTAGTTCCTTGTGTAGTGTTATTGGGTGCAGTAACAGTTGATATTCATGTACTCAAGCTGATATAGTTCCTAAATCATGTCTAACTTGACTGTTTTGTTTTGGATCCATGTGTTTAATGATGTTCATAGTTTTTTTTAAACTTGTCTTACTTGGCCTTGGGTAATAGATAGGCATAATGGTATTAACTTTCTCTACACCAGGTGGCAGCTCAGTTGTGTTAACAAACAAATGCATGATTCTTTTGCCAAATTTGAAAGTGCAATGTGGGTTCTGTTATGTAGCTTCTGAATAACTTTTATCAGTGGACATGTAGTGTAATTGTTTTTGTGTGGGTAGTAACTCAGTGCCATTATTTAAAATCATTTAACATTTTGATGCCATACACTGTCATTAAGATTTAGTTAACCCATCCTTCATTGTTTGCAGGCAGTTATAAATATATAAACACACGTTTATTCCTAGTAAACCTAAAAAAAGTCAGGGTTAGAACTACAGTGTAGAAACTATAAAATGTACAGAAGTAGCAGAGGTATCTGTATATTATGACTTTGATGATGGAGATACACTGTCATTAAGATTTATTTAACCCATCCTTCATTGTTTGAAGCCAGTTATAAATATATAAACACACGTTTATTCCTAGTAAACATAAAAAAAGTTAATTATCTGCAGTTTTGCATTAAATCACATTGTCTGCTAACATGGATACATTTTGTCCAGTGTATTGTAATAATTAATGAAAAATTAATCATTAGTTTTTGTTTTCATTCATCACAGACATACAGAAAGTTGAGTATCTTGTACGAAAATAATTTTTATTGGGAAAAATTGATTGCTTTTGGCAAGGGTATGTGATAGCTCTTTCCAAAACAAAATATTCATACTCTTAGACCATAAAGGTTTGGGGACTTAGAATTTCCAAGATGAGATATTTTTTGTATTTATATCAACTTTGGGTACCAGGATCATTCAGAAGGAGACTTGCACGAAGTTGTACCCTAGCCATGGTAAGTAAAGTGTAACATCTTGTAACAATTGTGAATCGAAAAACACAAAAGTCAGTGGCAAAATCTGTCTGTGTATCCCAGACAACAGTACATAATATAACCAAGAAGGATCGCCATCTGGAAAAGTGACAAAAGTAATGTGTGCTCAAGCTTCTTCCATGACATATCCATTCTACTTTCATATACTTCAAGTAGCTGTAGTAGCACAAGCATTTTCATGCTTTCCATATAAAGACGTGCTAGTCAAGTAGCTTGCCCATATTTATGCAATTGGACTATTGAAAGAGGCACTGTAAAACATTGTTTTCATACCCTATCTGGATTATGCAAAACAACCAAGGAAGAGAGGTGTGTTGTGGATATGATAACCTTATGCTGTGCCTTTTATAATGGCAGCTAAGTTGCAGAGCTATTGTCAACATGTACAGTTATCAGAAAGAGGAAAACCAGGTCATTTAGCCTCTGTATTACTTAAAACAATCAACAGAGGCACACATAATCATGCTGTCTACATACATCTTGGCATTAGTTATGAAAGACCAGTTGTAGTGTTAAGTAAAACCTAATCTCCTTATAAACAATGAAACAATGTAATTTCAGTGACATAATTTAGTGTAAATATAGTTTTTGGTTTATAGCTCAATTTTAATTAGTTACACCTGGCTTTAAATGACTTTAAGGTTGATACTATTCTAGAAGAACTGATAGGGCCTATTGACTCTTTTTAAACAAAATTTTTCTAAACTATTTATGCACCAAATTGCTTGTGGGACTACAATATTTTAGTGAAAGGGTCCCTAACAATGTGTGTGATACAAAAAAAAACAGAATTATCATTAATAATAATTACTGCTGGAGATCCTATATATATATATATATATATGCTATGTAGAAAAACAGTAATTTCATATAATCTTTACACTGAGTATTGCAACAGGCAAAAAAAGATAAAATTAGTCAATATGATGCAATAAATGGACTCCATGGATAGTGAATGATATAAAACCATCTTGACTATTTGAAAGTTAAATACTTCATATACGTGATACTGTACATGAAATTATGTAATTTGACTTTTTAATTTTTTATTTGTTCAATTAAAGAAAAGAAATATTGAAAGATTAAAAATATATTTTTTGTTTGTTTAGGTTGAAGATACAGAAAAAAAGTCTGTCAAGATAAATTCTACTGAATTTATAACAAACAAAGAATCTAAAAAGATCACAGAGAAAGAAGATTGTGTACAAAATAACATTAAGGAACAGAAGAATGGATGTTCACACCTTATACAGTCTAGTGAGCAGAAGAATATTGATTCTTCACCAAATAAATCTAACAATATTCATGTATGTATTAACTTTGTGGATTGTATTATTTCTTCTTTAACCTGTTTGTAAGATACTTTATCAATCTTTAGAGTTAAAGGGTGTGTTTTCAGAATCTTGCTGGAAAATGAATCTCTGCCCAACAGGACTTGTTCATGAGGAAATGAATGTTTTTACCTGTCAGCAGTCAGGATGCTATCAATTTTGTGTAGATGCAGCCCATAATTATGTTGCTTCACCATACATGTTACACATTGACTGTGGTACTGTTCTTCTCTCTGCCAGTGAACAAACAACTTATCATGGACTTAGATACACTTATCTTCTTTCAGCTTGGCATACCCCATTATTTGAAGTCTTGTACCCATTTCTACCTTTTGATTTGATTATCTGTCCAAAACAGCACTTTTATGTGAAGCTACGCATCCACTGAAGCCAATTTGTGCTAGTTTGTATCTTACTGTTGTGGAATTAACATTCAGACTTGTATTTACAACTAGATTATTGGATAATTCTTTATTGGAACGTAGTGTAGAATGTTGTGTAGCATGTTGTGTATCATACCCTGAATGATTTAACATCACTTTTAAAGAGTTTGATCTTTCTTGACCTCTGCTATTATTACCATCACTAATTCCATGTACCCTTTCAATATTTTCCAATACAACTTTACTGAAGCATGAAATTTTACTTCAGTCTGTCACATGGAGTAGCCTTCTAACAAGGAGTATAGTAATACCCACAAATGAAGAGATCTGCTGCCCCAGTAGTTCCCCCCCCCTCAATCTGAGGTATATTCTTTTAAATTTTCTACATTGTAACTCCCATTGGTATAAAAAATATGAAGTTTTTCTCTCCCTCCCCAAGCTAACTCTTTGCTTCCTTATTCACCCCTCCCCCTGAATAAAATAAAATCCTAGAAACACCAATTTTCTTTTCATGTATAGTTAACTTACAAGCTAATTCAGGCACTATACAGCAAAGTAAATGGAGCTTCAAGAAATGTGACAAAATATGCTTAAAAACTATCAACATTTGAAACAACAACATAAGATTTCAGCTCTGTTCATATTTTTATATTTAAAGTTAGAATAAAAAGAAGCTCAAAATGCAGTGATATTTCAGAGACTGTGTTTCTTTCATCAAAACCTTGTATGTTGGCCAAAGAATGATGCATCTTAGGTATTTGTGGACCAACAATTTATAATGGTAAGCTTAGTGGCATTCCGTTTCTTCTATACAGCACTGACACTATAGTGGAAGTTGGCTTGAGTAGTTGGGCTAAAATATCGGACACTCATTCCAACAGGTTTGGTTTCAATAACCATTTCTTTTCTAAGGTCCATAAGCTCATTACTGCATGACATCTTAATTCAAACTGGTGTTTTATAACAACAGCAGACATGTTAGAAACCCTACGTGTACCAGGGGATTCGTGTGGAGACTTGGATATTAATTAGATACATATCTATTCATCCATAAGCCTTTCTAAGAACACACTTATTTTTAATAAATAAAAAGAAATGCACATTCTAAAAAGTCATCTGCTTTTTTTAATCAATGTAAAGTTTCACAAATATAGAATCATAAAAGTTTGATAAATTATATCAGTACAGCTTGTTTTAATAGCAGGGATCTTAATTTTTACTATATTTGGATTACATGTATTAGAGATAGTAATATTTAAAGGTGTTTTCAACTTTCAAAATTTGAATACGTTTGTTTATATCGAAGGATTTTTTACAAACATATTGTTACGACAGCGGAAGTCATGTTACGCTAGTAACACGTCATGAGATTCTAAAAGGATTTTGTCTGTTCATAACAAGTCTAGTCTTCTCTATTTGCCCGCTATTTTTGTATATATAAGCCCGACAATCAATCGGAACGGGGAATAGCAGACAGAGAGATTGAAGACATAGACGAACAATTGAGTCAAGCGCGATAGTAAGTAAAGTGCATGAATCATTCATTGAAAATTATAGCGTGTGTTTAAGTCAAAATGACTATGGAAATTAAGTGTATTGCAAAGTTGTATTGAGAAAGAATAAACTAGTTTTATTTAAGAAAGGACTTCTATCACTGAAGTTCTTTGGAAAGAATTTTTACGGGTAATTAACCAACAAACACAGAGGCGTAACAATATAGATTTAAAATTAAACTTGTTTTCAAATCATCTGGTTGAATTATTTTACTTTCTTGTTTCAAAAATACTATATATATATATATGTTTGTTACTTTAAAAATAAGACTTGTATTGTTAGAAATGAAAACGTTTGACCTAATTAAAATGTATTTCACACTAGATAGCTGGATACTTGAACCTACTTGCAAATAGTATAGACAACTTCACTCACGGGTTGGCTGTAGCTGCCAGCTTTCTCAACAGTACCAAGGTAAGATATATTATCTTCCTGCTGGTAATCGTACGCAACATATCTTTAATATTTAATAGATCGTGGTTTTTGACATCTGGTGAATGATTTATTTCATTGAATTATAAAAAAATAAGATATGTAAGGATATTATGCTTAGGTTGATAATGGCATTAACTGAATTATTTGATAATTAGAATAATCAGTGGTAACATTGAATTATATAGAAAAATAGGATATGTAAGGATATTAAGCTTAGGTTGGCAATGGCATTAACTGAATTATTTAATAATGCGAATAATCAGTGGTAACATTGAATTATATAAAAAATAGGATATGTAAGGATATTAAACTTAGGTTGGTAATGGCATTAACTGAATTATTTGATAATTAGAATAATCAGTGGTAACACTGAATTGTATAGAAAAATAGGATATGTAAGGATATTAAACTTAGGTTGGTAATGGCATTAACCGAATTATTTGATAATTAGAATAATTAGTGGTAACATTGAATTATATAAAAATAGGATATGTAAGGATATTAAACTTAGGTTGGCAATGGCATTAACTGAATTATTTGATAATTAGAATAATCAGTGGTAACATTGAATTATATAGAAAAGTAGAATATGTAAGGATATTAAGCTTAGGTTGATAATGGCATTAACTAAATTATTTGATAATTAGAATAATCAGTGGTAACATTGAATTATATAAAAAAAATAGGATATGTAAGGATATTAAACTTAGGTTGGCAATGGCATTAACTGAATTATTTGATAATTAGAATAATCAGTGGTAACATTGAATTATATAAAAAATAGGATATGTAAGGATATTAAACTTAGGTTGGCAATGGCATTAACTGAATTATTTAATAATTAGAATAATCAGTGGTAACATTGAATTATAAAAAATAGGATATGTAAGGATATTAAATCCAAACTTTCTGATAACCCAAATACCCTTTACTGAGTTTAATACTCGTCATACTACAACGAAAATCCACTGTTGTATATTCCTGTCATCGCATATCTGATTTATAGGTATGACATGATATGAAAATATATATGTATTCTGCTTTGAATATGTGCTTGAAATATTCTTTCTCGTTTAAAGTTATTTAATAAGTGATAGGCAGTTGAAGCTCTAATATTGTCTAATATTTTTATTTCTACATGTATTTTGTAGAAATATAAAGAAAAACTAGTATTGAGCTGTTTTTTTAATTTGCTTTGAACTTGTCACTTTTTTTTTATCTGGAACCAGTTTTAACTAATTATTTAATCATTTTTCTATTTATGAAATATTTATGTTAATGATTTATATAAAAATGTTGATGTTATATGGAAGTAAAATTATCTGTAGTTTTAATAAAAGTTTAAACTAGATAAGAGTCTTTAAATAAACAAAAATTAAAAATGATCAATTAAATAACTTAGAGAAGCAACAACTGAGACACATGGTAGAATATTGTAACTTAATTGCCAGATATCTTGATATAGGTGGTATATATGAGTGGGAATTGATAGGTTTGAAAAAGACATGTAATAGATGCAGTTTGTGCCCAAAGGTCATTGATCACATTAAAAACGTAATGATAGCTACCACACATTTGTAGATGAGAAATTGGATTAAGAAAATGATGATTGAAATTAGTTAGTTATTACACTGCAAGTTATATTAAGATGTGCACATTTTAGGCACTATTCCAAATACGTAAAAGAACATGTTTCAAATTGCTGATTTCAGAAAAACAAGATCATTATTTTGATTTGTATTTTTTATTTTTAAAGACAAAATCAATTTTTTTTTAGTTGTTTCTTTAGATTCTGAATTTATTTATTTAATGGGACAGTTTTAACTTCAAATTATAGTTTCTTAACAGATGGGTGCAGTTACAACTTTTGCAATACTAATTCATGAGATTCCCCACGAGGTGGGAGATTTTGCTATTCTATTAAAATCTGGTTTCAACAGGTGGGAAGCAGCGAGAGCTCAGGTATGTGTACTTTATTTTTCTGCATTTTTCAAATTTTCATGTAAAACAAAGAAGGAACAGATCAGTAGTTTTTTGACTGATGTATTGATTGTGAACTTCTTGTACAAGTAGTACAAAATGTCAAATATCAATAATTCTTTCAGTAATACAGTAATGCATACAGTAGTGAACTGTTATTTTCGTTTTTTTCTTTACAAGCATATCAAAACTTTAACCTTTATTTTAATTAACACAGTAATTCTCGGAAAGAATGTTTGTTTTTTTAAGTGGAACACTACCTGTTAAAAGTAAGTCTCTGGAATTGGTACACAGACAAATCTTGTACAAAAATATATGGTATAATTATGAATTTGAAGTCATTCTACCAGTGAGTACTATAAACAGTATTATTGTTAATTTGGAAATCAACTTCTTTTTTTTTTTTTTTTCACTTACAATTTATCAAATATTTAACTCGTAAACCTCTACGTATATCTTTATGAACATGTTTGGACTGATGTTTAAGAAACTAAGATTTTACATGTAAGGGAATATGTTTTGTATAAAATCTGTATATTCTGACTGTTTATCATGTATCATGACACAATATTATTTACACAGATAGAATGCTTCAAGTTTCTATATAAAAAAGTTTATGATCATCATCACTATTAATAGAATTTTGTGGAACAAGGAACTAATTTTTCCTCATAACTACTTGTTGAATCATCTTAAAATGATTAATACTGAATAAACAAGTTATGTGCATGAATAAAATGTTCCCCCAAACATGTTTATTTTATTATAATTTTATTATTATATTATTTCTATTCAAATTTCCTTGGCATGCGTATTTCAGTAAACTTGGCATCAGAACATAGTTAATAATTCAAGTGTTAATATGATATAAGTTTTAATTTCAAAAGAAAATATTTAAATAGATTTAAAGTCTTTACTTGTATGTATCACAAGAAATTTGTTTGTTCTGAATAGCACATTTTAGAATTTCTTTCCACCCTTATATTGTTTTCTAAGTTTTAAAGAACTTGCACACTTACACATTAGATATCCTAAAAATTAAGTACAAACAACACCCTACAAAAAATAGGATTAACCTTCGTCAAGACTTTGAGAGCAAAAAATGTACATGACCTACACATAAGTACTAAATTTCTTGTATATTTTTTATATATTGTTATAAAAGTAACTAAAATGAAAAAATTATAAGTCTACAGATTAGATAAGAAAAATTTAATAACAAATTACTCAGTAGCAAGTGGCAGTAATGCTATAAACTTAAATGACCCAGAGATTTAAATTGTGTTAGCTTTGGCTATAAGAATAAATAGTGTTTAATTATCTGTAAAAAAGGGCAGTCTTTCTAGAAATAGAAAAGCATAACTTAGATTTATTGGTGTATTACTGTATAAGGGTAGAGAGAATAACAGATAAAATATAGTTTTAACGATAAAAAAACTTTGTTATTCATTTAGGAAGCTTCAGAAGTTATGGAAATGAAATTTGAAAAAAGGCTTTTTTTATCATAATGTGAAAATTACCTTGCTCTGAGACTATTCAGAGTCTGAGTCATAATTGAACTCCTTAAATTCACAGACAAATCGTTAGTAATAATACTTTATTAAAAATTCAGATTTTTTTGTCTACTAAAGACTCGTAATGTTTACTAAAAGCTTTCCAAATATATTACAGATAGACTTACTACATTAAAAGTTACAAGTCAGTCAAAATGAACAAGCCCATGTATAGAGTTTTAACAAATGGTTAGTTTTGAATGTAAGCAGCAAAAAGTGTCATGTTTTATTTGTGCAGTAAATATATTAGATTTTTGCATACAATGTAAAAATGTTGGTATTTTTTCCTCCTGGTTAGTTTTGTACCTAAACCAAATTTTATTTCTAATATTTAATGCTCAGTTTAAATAACTGTTACTTTTATTATTCCATAAGTAGTTTAGATTGCATCTGTATTAAAAAAAAAGTAAAGGATGATTTTTCTTCATTTTGTGGAGGATTCTGGAAATGTTTGTAGAATTAATTCCTTGTGCATTGAATGTCTAAACGTTGTAAAAATGTACTAATTCTTCTTGCATACATAAAGGTTATATATGGTATAGGCTATTTGTCAAGTTTTGTATGGGCTAGGATTCTTTACAATATTATTTTTCTCTACTGTTATCACAATAGTATCAGTGAATAAATGTGGGTTACCACAATTGTATCCTGAATTTTAAATAATTGTCTCCTTCTCGTCAAAGTCCACATAGATGGGTACAATTATTTTAGAACACCCTTTCACAAGACGAATTCTTCTTCTTAGCTCTGTTGTTACACTAGAGCTGTAAAACACTATAGAAATCATCCTTTAAGGTTAATAACATACATGCTGGCTAACTTCACATTTTCTTTAACTAACTAGCTTTTTTTCTATCTGAACTTTGCTTGACTTGCACTTGCTTGGTCACCTATGTATATATCTTGCCCAACTGAGGCCTCAAAGTTTCTGTAAACTACAAGACGTTATGATGTAACAGTACTCGCATCCCATTCAGTGTTTTCCAACTCTTATGAACATTGTATATAAAGAAACACTCACATCTAATAATATTAAAAGCCACTACAGAAATAAAGTCTTTTATTTTTTACATTATAAAAGAAAAGCACAAGTAGTGGAAAATGAAACTTTATACATAATGTTGTTGAACCATGATACTGGACAGTCAGTATTATACATAATGTTGCTGAACCATGATAATGGACAGTCAGTATTATACATAATGTTGCTGAACCATGATACTGGATAGTCAGTATAAAACATAATGTTGCTGAACCATGACACTGGACAGTCAGCATTATACATAATGTTACTGAACCATGATACTGGACAGTCAGTATTATACATAATGTTGCTGAACCATGATACTGGATAGTAAGTATAAAACATAATGTTGCTGAATCAAGACACTGGACAGTCGGCATTATACATAATGTTGCTGAACCATGACACTGGACAGTCAGTATTATACATGTTTCTGAACCATGATAGTGGATAGTCAGTATTATACATAATGTTGCTGAATCAAGACACTGGACATTCAGTATCATCTAGTGGATATTCTACCATAATGCTAGATTTGCTTGAAAATAAAGAGCGATCTTTCTCATGTATTGGTTACAATAATGGCTTTATATTGTTGAAAGAACATAATAACCATGAGTTAATATCCTTGTGGTGCCAAAAGCATTGCTTGGAGTTAGTCATAAAAGATGCTTTAAAATCCAAAGAAAATGAAAAACTTGAAACACTATAATAAACTCGTGTTGAGAATCAAGATGGGGAGTTTGTCAACAAAGAAAATAAAGCCTATAATAGCCTTTGGCAGCTGTTTCTAGTATTTTAGAGAAGTACAAAGTGTATGGGCTATATTTAGAATCGGTAGTTGTATATGTATATATTAGAGACAGCTGATATGGGTATTGAAAAGCAGAAAACAAGTAACAATGTTTTAACCTCTTTAGGTCATCATCACCTTAACCTTACAATATACATACATATATATATTTATTTCAAGTGGGTTACTCGTCATTGTCAGTGGTTGAAGATCCATTTTATACCACTAATTAAGAGGTTATTGGAACAAAAACAAATGGACTTCAACCTTATATTACATATGGCATTGATTAAGCACACCTTATAAGTTATCTCTATAGTGATAAAATATTTCACCAGTAGAATTTCAGTGCAGCCATTGTACAAAAAAGGAGCTGACTGTAACTCATTTTAACTGAAGAATCAAGATCTTTGCAGACAGAAGAGGTGAAGAAAGATTTTACCCAAGATAATTTTGGAGAAATCTAGCTCATAAATATCCAAGTTAATAAGGCTTCAGTAAAAAATAAGTAAACTCTTGGTTGAAAAAATGCTGCTCTGAAGATGACAATGTTGAACTTTTAAAACTATTGCGCTTTTACATAACACATAAAACTGGTGTTATAGTCAAACATAAAATGACACTCATAACACTGAAAGCTGGTGTTAGTCAAACCTAAAATAACACTCATAACACTGAAAGCTGGTGTTAGTCAAACATAAATTGACACCCATAACACTGAAAGCTGGTGTTAGTGAAACATAAAATGACACCCATAACACTGAAAGCTGGTGTTAGTGAAACATAAAATGACACCCATAACACAGAAAGCTGGTGTTAGTCAACTGTTCCATCCCTTCACCTCCAGCTTGCTGATGTTTGTATTATCATGTTTTACTTGAATACTATTACATCCCTTCACCTCCAGTTTGTTGATGCTTGTTTTATCATGTTTCACTTGAATATTGTTACATCCCTTCACCTCCAGAGCTTGCTGATGTTTGTATTATCATGTTGAATATTGTTACATCCCTTCACCTCCAGAGCTTGCTGATGTTTGTATTATCATGTTGAATATTGTTACATTCCTTCACCTCCAGTTTGTTGATGCTTGTATTATCATGTTTCACTTGAATATTGTTACATCCCTTCACCTACAGAGCTTGCTGATGTTTGTATTATCATGTTTGACTTGAATATTTTTACATCCCTTCACTTCCAGTTTGCTGATGTTTGTATTATCATGTTTCACTTGAATACTGTTACATCCCTTCACTTCCAGAGCTTGCTGTTGTATATATTATCATGTTTTACTTGAATACTATTACATCCCTTCACTTCCAGTTTGCTGATGTTTGTATTATCATGTTTCACTTGAATACTGTTACATCCCTTCACTTCCAGAGCTTGTTGTTGTATATATTATCATGTTTTACTTGAATACTGTTACATCTCTTCACCTCCAGCTTGCTGATGTTTGTATTATCATGTTTCACTTGAATACTGTTCAGCCCTTCACCTTCAGCTTGCTGATGTTTGTATTATCATGTTTAACTTGAATACTGTTCATCCCTTCACCTTCAGCTTGCTGATGTTTGTATTATCATGTTTAACTTGAATACTGTTCATCCCTTCACCTTCAGCTTGCTGATGTTTGTATTATCATGTTTAACTTGAATACTGTTCATCCCTTCACCTTCAGCTTGCTGATGTTTGTATTATCATGTTTAACTTGAATACTGTTCATCCCTTCACCTTCAGTTTGCTGATATTTGTATTATCATGTTTCACTTGAACACTGTCACAGAGAATTCCTTCTCCATACAGAAAGGAGTGAAGTAGAATGGACTGTAGTTTTACAAATCAAGGTAGAAGGACAGCCATATTCAGAGTATGGTGTCACAAATTCTGTAAAACTGTGCTTTGACATTAAAAAAAGGTGAAAAAGTAGTAGAAACAAGAGCTACATAATGACATAATGAGAAACAGAAAAAAGTTCTACATATTGAGAAACAGAAAAGTAAGACTGGAAGAACATAAATATGTTCTTGTATCATCAGTCTGTCTTGCGTAGTCTTGCTCAGACTTGGAAAGTATTCAGTTTTTCAAATGTCATCAGTCTGTCTTGCGTAGTCTTGCTCAGACTTAGAAAGTATTCAGTTTTTCAAATGTCATCAGTCTGTATTGCGTAGTCTTGCTCAGACTTGGAAACTATTCAGTTTTTCAAATGTCATCAGTCTATCTTGCTTAGTCTTGCTCAGACTTGGAAAGCATTCAGATTTTCAAATGTCATCAGTCTGTCTTGCATAGTCTTGCTCAGACTTAAGTATTCAGTTTTTCAAATGTCATCAGTCTGTCTTGCTTAGTCTTGCTCAGACATGGAAAGCATTCAGATTTTCAAATGTCATCAGTCTGTCTTGCATAACCTTGCTCAGACTTAGAAAGCATTTAGATTTTCAAATGTCATCAGTCTGTTTGGTGTAGTCTTGCTCAGACTTAGAAAGTATTCAGTATCTCAAATGTCATCAGTCTGTCTGGCATAGACTTGCTCAGATGTAAAAAGTATTCAGTATCTCAAATGTCATCAGTTTGTCTGGTGTAGTCTTGTTCTACTTAGAAAGCATTCAGTTTTTTATGGAGGATGCTCCAGCAAAAAGTGTTAGCGGCAGTGAATAAATGCCACTGAATCATACTGTATAGTATACAGTCATGACTGGTGCTATGGAACTTTGTTTCATTTTATTTTATGATGTATATTTCAGGTGAGGAAGTATTACAGACATTCTGGATATTATTAGCATGATAAAGCACACAACAGTAGTTTTTATATTGAATATAAAGAACAATTAAACCCAAGATTAATTTATTTTATACGTCGTGTTATTTAGATTTATTTGTATTTAAGAATTTCTAATTGTAATCAATGAATATTTTAATAAGTCATTTTTCATCCTGCGATGTGGTGATCACTTGAAAATACAGTTATCATCAACACTGTTACACATCAATGTAAACTTCATCCTGTTAAACCATATTTTCTCATGTATAATACTTGATTTAAAGTTTGAAATTTATTTTAAATTAGTAGGAAAAGCTGTATTTCATCAAAACTAAAATAAAATAAAATGTTGCAGAAATATGATACAAATATTTGTAAAAATGTAGAAAATTGTAGGTGATGCTTACTGTGGAAACCATTTAATCAGTTGTTTGTTTTCATTTTAAATCATTATATTTGTTAACAACATTCTAAGCTCTTATCATGTACTAACCCTAATTTGGAAGCATGACCACATGACTTGTTTAATAACATAACACCTGATGTTCAGGTTGGATATAAATAATCAACACAATACAGGATATAAACAAAAGAGTAACTTAAGAATTTTCATACGTGTGTGTGTGTGTTTCTCTGTTGGAACAGCATTAAGTTTACAGAATTACATTGCTAGAATCTGGGGCTCAATTCCCCATGGTGGATGCAGCAGATAGTTCAATGTGATTTTGCTTAAAAATAAACAAACAAACAAACATTTTTGTGTGATGATAGTCAGTTATAAAATTTTAACAAAGATCTTAACTTTTGATTATTTGTTTTCTTTTAAGTATCAAACAAAAAAAGCTAACCAAGTTGATGAAAAATATAAAGCAAAATTAACAAATTCATTGGGTTAATTCAAGTCTTGAAATGACTAATCAGAAATAAGCTAATGAATTAATTACTCTTAATTATGAGCAAAATATAAAGGACTTCTGTGACCACCCTGTTCTAGGTCATTAGTGTTGTACCACTTACTGTTGAAAATTTCTAGTAGTTAGCCTGGGTCACGGTTTTGTGTTATTGTTGCTAGTTTATTTAACCAATTTATATATTTTTAGCCTCATAAAACAAAAATATAGCTTTTATATGAAGTAAGGTTTGCTACATTTAAAAGTACATATTGGAAAATAGTGTTATTTGTTTATGTATTATGTTAACTGAAGTGTTTTGTTTTTCTCCAGATATCTACTGCAAGTATAGGTATTCTAGGAGCGGTTGTTGCATTGTGTGCTGAATCTGCAGAGGCTGTTGGTAAGATTATTTTTTGAAACTTGGAGCATTTTATAACAATTTAAATTGTTTGTTGTTTCAATAAATAACCATAATTGTTTGCACGGTGAACAACAGTCTCTTCCGGGTCTTGAGAAAAGTAGCTACTTGTGTTTAACACTTAAAGTCATATAAAACAAAATAGTATTAAAATAAGAAGTAAATGACACGTGCAAAATTATTTAGACTGTTATTCTGTTTTTCGTAGCATGAGTAAATTTAGTTCTGCACTGAAAATTGGATTGAAGTTTTTTTTTAGGCTTACTGCATCGTACATTAACAATGTACATTAACTAGAGGCAAGTTTGAGAAATATTGGTGTACACTTCACTGCCTCATATTAGGATAACACTATTACTTATCCTGAAACATGTGAAATAATTTGATCATAAAGCAATTTCTGTGTTTAATCGAAAATTAAACATTAGCAATCTGATAAACATTGAAATCAGAATTTTTTCCCATGACAAAAGCTTAATATTTTGTTCTAGACTGCAGTAGTTTTTGTTTTTTGTTTTGGACAGGTGACAAAACGGCATGGATATTACCTTTTACAGCAGGAGGGTTTCTAAACATAGCTTTAGTTACTGTTCTACCTGATATCATGAGCGAGGACAACCCATGGTATGTAACATTAAAAAATATTGCTATCAAAAACCAGCATGAAAAAAATTAGCCAACTTCAGATGCAGTAAAAACTAAAATAAACTAGTGCATTTGAAATGCAAAACTATTTTTTTCACTTAATGTAAAAACTGTTTCTCATGAACCACAGTAATGGTTCATAACAGTGATTGCCTATTTGTTCTTCATTATTATTATTTTATATTGTTCCGCCAGCCTAAACAAAAATGGGTGTGAGTATTGTAATAAAACCTGGGCAATATTACTAAAGGCATCATTGCATACTGAGTAGGGTAGTTTTTAAGTTTAATTGACTACCTAGTAAATAACATTGGCCCTTTAACCATTGACCTAATCATTTTAATGTAGTTTGTGGTTTATATGGAGCCTCATAATAAATTATATGCACATGTATATAGGTGTGTGCAAGTCGTGGATGTAATTGATGTTGCATATCATTTGTTTTTATATATAGGGTTTATGCCCTTTCACTTTCATTTTATACAAACATATAGGCTGTCTCCCACAACAGAAATATTTAAGCTGTGGTTTAAAAAAAGTAGCATCAAGCTCAGTTTTGAGCATCGGATCAGCAACCGTTGTGATGGTTGATGGTAACTGTCAAATTATAGCTAACACTGCATGATTGCAAATAGAGTAGCCATCCTTGAAGCCGACTATAAGGAGTGGTAAGAATCTAGAGTAACCATCCCTGAAGCCGACTATAAGGAGTGATAAGAATCTAGAGTAGCCATCCTTGAAGTCTAGATTCTTACCACTCCTTATAGTCTAGTAGCCATCCTTGAAGCCGACTATAAGGAGTGGTAAGAATCTATAGTAGCCATCCTTGAAGCTGACTATAAGGAATGGTAAGAATCTAGAGTAGCCATCCTAGAAGTCGACTATAAGGAGTGGTAAGAATCTAGAGTAGCCATCCTTGAAGTCGACTATGAGGAGTGGTAAGAATTTAGAGTAGCCATCCTTGAAGCCGAGTATAAGGAGTGGTAAGAATCTTGCAAGCAGGAGATGGCGAAAATAATTACAATTCTTAGCAAAAGTGGGGCAGAAATTTTGTAGCTATATATTTGATTTAGAAAATATTTAGTTTCAGATAAAGTATGCAGTAGCAATGGCTCACCAGAGTGTAGGGTCGTCACAGAGGAAGAAGGTCACAGAAGTGTCACGACACAAACTCCATCAGAAATGGAGGGGGGGGTATGTTAATATAATCAACTCATAATTGTTAATTAACATGTTTTCAACCTTGTAGAGTGTACAGAATGTCTTTCTAAGAGTAAATTTGGCAAAACCATTACCAGCTTTACTATGGCCAGTGGAGAGGAGGAAGAGGAAGGGGAAAATATAACAACTATAAGAAATATTTAAAATGCTTACTTGTATATATATATCCTATTATGTTATGACATATTATCTTATATTTGCATTGAGTATATTTGTGTGCATCTATACAACTTGAAAAATTCATATGGCTATCTATATATATATATACAGCTTTACAACTTAAAAAAACTATAAAGCCTGCATGTGTGTATATATATATAGACATTAATACTAGCCAATGTGCATTGCATGTGAATGCATATAAGAACACTTATGCAGTTACAAAATCCAGTCCATGAACCATTCTGATATAGTTCAGTAGTCCTTCCGATATGGTGTTTACAGACTCCCCATAATGCTACAGGGTATAAATATAGTAGCTATATGTATTTTACAAAGATATACATAACATGTCATATGTTGATCACTATACATAATAGTGATCACTATACATACAGTTATCACTATCAATGAGGACAGGCATGGCCAGGTGGTTAAGGTGCTTGACTCGCAATCTGTGTTACGGGTTCGAATCCCCTTCACACCAAATATGCTCGCCCTTTCAGCCTTAGGGGTGTAATAATGTGACAGTCAATCCCCCTATTCGTTGGTAAAAGAGTAGCTGCCTTCCTTCTAGTCTTACACTGCTAAATTAGGGATGGCTAGTGCAGATAGCCTTTATGTAGCTTTGTGCAAAATTCATAACAAACAAATCACTGTCAATGATATCAGGAGCAATAGCCATCCAATCTGCATGAAGCCAGTCCAAAAGGATGTCATTGCTTCCCAAGAGAGTATCATACACCAACTATGTATTTCATTAAACTAAACTGTTTCAATTAGGATGCTATTACTATTATACAGATATATGTCCATGATGGACATAAAAAAACTAAAGAAATAAGATTATTAAAAATTGTTCATTTATAAAGGGGGAAAAGGGATATTCAAAAAATTACAGAAATAAGATAGGTAACTTAAAGTGAAAATGCAACTGCATATAAGTAAACAAACAAGCTTAAGATTTGAAACATAGTGTTAACATTATTTCCTCAAGCTACAAATCCATATTTTGGCTCCATGTTTAAACACTGTAATATTTAGTAGAGTTAAAACAGGGATTTGTAGCTTGAGGAAATAATGTCAACACTGTGTCTGAAACTTTAAGCTTGTTTGTTTAATTTTTGGCTGTTGCATTTTCACTTTAAGCTACCTGTCTTGTTTATGTATTTTGTTGAAGATCCTTGTTCTCCCTTTTTAAACTAACAATTTATTATTAAAATCTTATTGAAATCAAGGTTTCCAGTCATTCATGAATTTATAGAAAGTCAGTGAAAAAATACATTTTAACACTGTTCATAAACCTGTAAACAGCATAAAAGTTTCTTTGAATGATGTTAGTAAAAAATACAATACTACTGAGAAAAAGCTGCAGCATGCTAGTTACAATAAAATTGTATAGGCAATTTAAAATATGCTATCACTTTCGATTAAAGTAAACTCTAAACAAATACCATATTTATCAAGCCAACCTATTTACACGGATTCAACTGTTATTCTAGAATATTGTTATGAGTAATCAAGAATGTTTTATTAATATAACATTGTGGATAGAAATCCACAATTTCTTGAAAAACACACACACACACACATTAACTATATACAAGTCTGCCATTTAAATAAGACAACATCAGAACCAAACTAACATAATAAAAATGGCTGAATTTTAAAATAATATTTAGTTTATTGAGTAAATAATGATAATTTTAGAAAAGTTTTTTATTTGCTTACAAAAATGATAATGAAATGTTTTGATATAATTTGTGTCATTAATAAAGGCTTTATATGGTACACTATGTAACCCTTCTAAGTGTTTCAGTAACACACTACATTAAAAGTACTACACTACATTAACACACTACAGGCTAGTTGGTGTTTATTTAAATATAATGCTGTATTATCACATTACATTTCACTCTGAGGAAGTATATATTTTATTGAGTAGTGTCTGATAATATTTGTGGTTTTACCTTGTTTAGGCTAGTTGGTGTTTATTTAAATATAATGCTGTATTAGGACATTACATTTGACTCTGAGGAAGTATATATATTTTATTGAGTAGTGTCTGATAATATTTGT